GATGTTCAGAAGGTCTGAGCAGCACAGGCCATAGAATAAGGCTCCAGACAAAATGCAGATACTTAAGTGTGGGAAAAATATGAAAGCTTTGTGCTGAGTCAGATCAGCTCGAGTCATTTGGAGAGTCGACCAATGGACTGGCTGTAATATGAGTGGACCAGTGAGACGGTGAGTGATGAGGACAGGGAAGGTCTGAAACTCATCACATGTGCAGTGTGAGCAAGTTTTTAACACAGATTAAAGATGCTCACACGACTTTTACAGATTAATATGCAACAATACTGACAGTAGGAACAGTTTACATGGTTCCTCTTGTTTCTGTGAACAAAGTCAATCATTGCCAAGACTGAATGTTAAAGCTCAGGGCATTTGTCCTTGTGAAACTGTGAAGTCTTCAGTTATGGCAAGGCAAACATTTCACCATTTCTCTACTATGGATGTAATAAAAGTGAAAAAATACATAGCAAACTTTTTTTTATATAACATTTCAGCAAAAAAAAAAAATCTGATCAGATCCATTCAGATAATATTTCTTCCTTTGGACCACAGTTCACAAAATAGTTGCCAGCCCAGGTGCTCATATCCCCACCAACGAACGGGAGCTCCCAAAGTAACGTCACCCAATGAGATTACATCAGCCCACTGTACAACAAGAAAACAACAAACAACAAACTGTTAGATATTTACATTAAAAATATTCTATTCATTGCAAAAACAATTTGACCATATCATAAAAAGCATCTTAGGTCAAAATCTACATTAAGCCTGTGAGGAGGAAGAGTCTTAATTTGGTGAATCCAGACGTGTTGTTTTTGTCTTTGACAGGAGCACTTCCAGACTCCCACCTCTAGGGGGCAGTTTTACATGTTCAATGCCAATATACAGTATATTTTAAGGAAGAGATAGGATGGTTAAAATCTACAAAATAAGCTGCCACAGGACAGTTCATGTTTTTTCATCTGATTGTATTTCTCTGCTCTACAGTACATGTTTTTAAAGCCCTGCGTGTTTTACCACACAGGTTTTACCACAGGGGCAGGTGATCATATAAATAACAGATTTAGTGTTGCAGGAGAGAATTCCTCTGAGGAGTATTTCTTTTCCACTGTGAGGAGACTTGAAGCAGTTGCAGCGTATGTTTAGTTACACTGACTGCACCACCACAGGGAGAGGAGTCAAAACAGTTTGAACTGATGTAGTCTGGTTTGGACGGCAGCGATTTTACCACTTCTTTAACAGATCTGTGGAGAGGCGAGCCCGCTCACTAATGCACATTTTTCAAGGTATTTGTGAGTAAAACTTACAACTGTAATGAAATAAATGCTACAGGTTTGAATCTAATCCATTATCTGGATTATTATTAGATTATCGGAACTTAAATAAGACTTGTCCATCATGTCCAGTGCTTTTGTAATTAAGAATAAATCAGCATTACAATAGTCACCAGTAAAATTTCTATTTGATTTGAACATGTTTACATCATCTCTGGGGACAAAGAAGCTCCATCAGCCCGGCGCTCTAGCACGTCTTCAGCTAAAGCATAGGTCACATTCATATTCACGACGTACATTTCCATCTCACTTGAGTTTCATTCACGGCGCACGGTCACCCATGGGCCCTTGAAAGCCTGACCCCCCCCCATCCTCCATCTCCCCACCCCCCCACTGTACTTATCCGTACACGTCCATAAGCCCCTCCCCCAGGCGCGGCCTATTCCCAGAGCTGCTCCATCACAGAGGGCGAGGGGCGGGGCTAGTGTCACCTTTGACCCCCGCACTGTAAACACACCCTCTCCTCTCTGCTGTACAGCGGGACGGGCCGTGCATTCTGAGAGATGAAAATGGATGATGGTTCTTTGGTTTGTCCTTTAGTCCTGTTGTTGATCTGGTCTAGTCCTGCTGTAGTCCGAGTTTAGACCTGGTTTAGACCTGGTTTAGACCTGGTTTAGACCTGGTTTAGTCCTGGTTTAGATCTTACTTAGTTGTTATGTTTATGTGTTAAATATGTGTGAATGAAACAAAACACAACTCCAGGTCTGTTTGTGAGGAAATTACTTTACAACATAAATCAGAAAATAGCGTCATATGGGCCCGTTAAATTAAATGTGCACTATGTAACTTTTTCATGTGGAGTCTAATATCTGCTTGTTGCCATTGAGCTGCCATTGCTTGTCCTAGAATGTTCCTCAGTTTGCTATTATACTCATCTATCTTGCATGTATTCGATTGTTTTTATTGCAAATATAATGGCTGTTGTAAATCTTAAAATGACTGTTCTGTAATTTTGACTTCATTCGGTGGGATAATACCTGTTGATAAAACCTAACAATCAACTATCATTAAATATAAATGATAGTTTTACACCAGTCAAGAAGCAATTTGTAAAGAAAAGCTGAAAAATATGTTGAAAATTACAGAAAGTAGAGAGTTTTATTTTTGAGAGTTCCACATTGATGACATAGGGAGAATTCTATGTAAAAATTAGGCATAAGGGACGACAATAGCTCAGTTGGAAGAATGTTTGTCCACTGATCTGAAGGTCGGCAGTTAGAATCCAACTCTTGACACAGGGTGCACTCAGACTAGGACTTTAGAACTGTGCCCAAGCACGGATCGCCCCTAAAGCTTTGGTACGTTTGTCCAGTGTGAATGCAATCGAACTGTGCTCCGCCACAGCACCTTTGGAACTTTGGCCCAGTTGGAGGAGGTGGACCAAAGCTCAGCATGGAGCTCATGTACGTGCACACGCATGACTTTACAATACGAGCCCTGTGTGTGTGCGCTGATGTCACTCATACGAGGAAAAGTGAATATAATCTGCTCCAAAACAAACGGCAAAACCTCACTTACCTTCAGTGAGGACAGACAGAAGTTTATCTGCCTCTCGTCTCCGTCTGTCATCACTGCTCCACGCTGTTTTTATCTCCATAAACTCACAGAGGAGCGTGGATCATAAAAGGACGCACATCAACCTCACTATTTAACAGATATTTCTGCCGCTAGACTTTGTTTCTCCATTAAAATCATTAGCTCATGTAAACAAACAGTGCCGTGTGATGACGTCATCGGCCTTGGCTCGGTTCTGTTGTGCAGGTGTGAGTGCGGAACAAAGAACCCACAACGATCAACACGGTTTTAAAGTCCGAGTGTGAACGTGCCCATAAACATCATTGGTTGAGTGGTCGTCAAACCCACTGACCCACAGGTTGGCTGGTGTGATTCCAGCTCCCACAGATGCTGTTGTTGTGTCCTTTGACAAGACACTTAACCCACCTCGCCCCCAGTGTCTGTGTACTCTGGTGTGTGTGTGAGTGAATGGGGGAGTGGTTCCTTGTTGTAAAGCACTTTTAGTGCCTCGAAGGTATAAAAGCACTAGATAAAAATTTGACCAAATAATTTACACCCAAGAAATGTGTTTTTTTTCGATACTTTAAAACACGATATCACAAAATAAATGTGCTTTCTTACATTATCTTTTGTGAAATAATAATTCCTGTGTATATTAGACGAGATTTGCGAGGTAACAGATATTGAATTCCATAATGTGATGACTTGACTTCCATCTAGAAAGTAACATTTTGAAACCTATAAAATGGCCAAACTGAGATTTTTTTTTTTTTTTTTTTTTTTTTTTTGCAATGACCTCAACTATGTTTTAGTGAAAAGAGTCGTCTAACCTGTGATATGCACTTTAAAGGAACTGTAGCCTGAGCTCTTACAGTTTTAAAAACTCACAACAATCACAGACACACATCCAAGTTTGTCTCATTCTCAGTTTATGTTCAGGCCTCATGTGAAGCTCAGAACCTCCAGAATTCCCTCCCTGAGCTGCAGAAGCTGCACTAGCACTGACTCATGATGGTGCAGGTGCTGGGGTTTAGGGAGTGACCGTTCACATCAGAGAGAGACATTTTAGGTCCAATGTTTTTGTAATTAAGAATAAATCAGCATTAATGGTAAAATCTTTGAGCATGTTTACATTCATAACAATAAATAGTATATCATAATAAGTAGTATAATGCCATTGTGATGGCAATTTATATTGTGGAAAGATTTCTCTCAATCTGTCTTTGTGTAAATGAATGTGATTTTTACCTTGTCCATATCTGCTGTAACCAATGTTGGGAAGTTACTTTTAAAATGTATTCCCCTACAGATTACAGATTACATACCCCAAAATGTAGTTTGTAATGTAATCCATTAAATTACTTAAAGTGAGTAACATAATCTGAATACTTTGGATTACTTGATTTGCTGTAGAGAAGCAAAGACTCAGTAATCTTCACATAAGAAGTTTTGTCTGTTAAAAGAAAATAAAAAAGCCTGAGTCTTTACTTAACCGTATTAAAAATATTATTGATAGAAGACGAGGAGACACACATGATTTAGTCCTGTTAAATCCTGTTTGAGACATAGTTTAGTCCTGGTTTAGTTTTGGTTTAGTCCTGGTTTAGACCTAGTTTAGACCTAGTTTAGACCTGGTTTTAGACTTGGTTTGGACATGGTTTACACCTGGGTTTAGACCTGGTTTAGTCCTAGTTTACACCTGGTTTTAGACTTGGTTTAGACCTGGTTTAGTGTCCGGCAATGAGAGGAATTATGGAGGAAAAAAAAAAAAAAGAAAACAGGAAAATACCGCCGTGTAATCCATTTATTTCAACAAAGTAACTGTAATCCAATTACCACTCAAACAGTAACTGTAACTGAATACAGTTACTCATAATTTGTACTCTGATTACGTAACTCTGGTACATGTAATCTGTTACTCCCCAACACTGGCTGTAACAACAAGAATAAACCTTTGTCTGTATTCCAAAAACTCATCGGGCTTCATAAATTGATTATTATTATTATTATTTTCTTCAAGATCTGTATATTTTTTTTCCACAATACCATACTGTGAAACATTCAACTTGACAAAGATTTCTTGATTTGACTGCCCTCTTGAATTGTATTTTGAGAATGTTGAAAGTTTAAAATGGTGCATGTTGTGTTTTGCAGGAGTGCTGTGGCTGTGCATTGTGGCTGAGTGCCTGTACATCCTCCTCCTGGCCACCGGGGGCATCCTCATGTCTATAGAGGTGTGTCAGATCGGCAACGTGATCGACGGGCTCAAACTCAACGCCTTCGCCGCCATCTTCACCGTGCTCTCCGGTAAGCCTGGCACACCCAACGCTCGATGTTCCTGAAATATACTGGATCAGCTTTAAGAGTGTCAGAGCGAGTGGTTTTACTGTAGACAGGAAACAGCTGACGGAGGTGCTCTCGTAACTTTGGGCTCGCGGTGTGTACTTTACTTTACAGTGTTGATACATTTGACCCAGAGGAATTGAAAAGTTGGTCAAATGCAAAGGACAAATTTCCTTATGGGCCAATAAAGCTCTTCATAATGAGATACAAACAGCACACAGCACTTCTTTTGACCTCAAGAGCCGCTTTATGGATGGAGCTACAGTATCTGCTGACTCAAGGATCCATGCACAGATAGAGAAAATGATGAGGTGTTTCTGATGGAGTTATGGTGAACTTATCACCGGCACATCTGGCTCAAATAGAATAACAACACAAAACGCTTCCGTAAACACTATTTCTTATCAAGTAGCAGAAGTTACATTTGGTTTGCAGTTTAGCTGCGTATGCATCATTTTAATACGAGATTTTATCCGTTTTTAGGACATATAATACAAATGCAAGATGTTAGCACCTGCAACAGCGTAAAGGAAGTCAGGAAATAAAAATTGGTCAAATCGGTGCATGTTTGGATGTGAAATGAGAGAGAAAGAGGAGAGACAGATGTGATGAAGGAGTGTACAGCCAGACCCCAACAGCCACAGTTTTGTATGTTTATGTGAAGATATATTTGTTTTAAAGAACACATATTATGCTACATTTTCAGAATCACATTTTAATGTTTTCTGATGATTCAGCAGTTCTATCTCTGTTACACAAATGGACCAATTCTTTTGAATATTTCATGAAAATTGACAGATTTGTGGAGTGGTGTGATCGTAACTACCTTACCTACCTTTGAATGCACCAAAAAATAAAGAAACAGTGTTTGACCCCAGGGACAGAGGGGACCACAGGCCAGTTGTGATCCACAAACAAACTATTGCCCAGACGACTCGTACAAGTACATAGTACCTAGGTACTGTGCACTAGACTACAACAGCTTCTTGTGTTGCTTAAGAGCTCATGGTGTGGACCAGAGGATCATGTTGATCTTTTATCAGGCTGTGTTGGAGAGTCTTGAAAGGTTCAGCATTACAGTGTGGTTTGGTGCAGCCTCACCAGACGGCGTTTACACTTGTGGGTGAACACGAGCATCTCTCCCTGTAGAGCGTCTTTGAGCAGGCCACTCTGTGTCAGGCCAGTAACATCCTGACTGCCCCTCTGCACGCTCTCTACTCAGAGTATGAGTTATTACCTTCAGGAAGAAGGTCCAGGGCCTCACGCTGTCACATGAACAGATTGACAGTCAGTGTCTATTAGGCTACTGAACAGGTAGTGATTGTTTGTACTGCATATTGTACTTTATGATGGATGGATGAATTGTAAAGATTGTGTTTTTAAAGTATTTATGTTTATGAATTCTTTTTTTATGTATTGTACAGCATTGATGGCAGCACGGGTCAATAGCCCAAGACAAATTTTCCACTCATGGGACAATAAAGTTAATCTTGAATCTTGAGTTGTGTTTTGTTTCATTCACACATGTTTGAGTAACTCTTTATTATGAGTCTGTCTACATCCCCAAAGCTCAAAATGCTCTGTTCCACCTTGTGATGTCATGAAGCGTCCATTTTCAATTGAACTCCAGCTCCTTTTACCTTTAGCTGAGTAGAGACTGACAATTCCAAGGCTGAAATCATCCAAATGATTCTAGTGAAAGTGTGTTGAGTTAAAAAACACCGTGAAGCACTTCCTGTATTACCACATGACATCACAAGGTGGAAGAGTGTTTTCTATTTGAGCCTCAGTCTGCACAGTTTGTGTGTTGAACATGTGTGAATGAAACAAACACAAGTCCAGGTCTGTTTGTGACGAGGAAACAACATGAGAACATAGATGAGAAAACAGCGTAATATGGCTCTTTAAGCTGTAAAATCCTAATCTCCTTAATTCTATTTCGACTGTGCTGTGTGTTCATTGGAGCAGTGCCCACAGAGACAGCTTCCAGAGCGGAGGAGGATTTCAACTGTCATCACTGGTCTCATCATACGCACAACCAGACAGACATTTTATAGATTAGTGTAAAGGAGACAAGTCGTCTGGCGTGAGTGTGGGAGTGCAGGTCCTGTTTTAGAAACGTTCCAGCTCCTTAAAGACGAGGCTGTTTGACTTCTGTGGGGTATTAACTGCTGACACGTAATGTATTTAGAGCACCATGTTACATTTTATTGTTAAGTGTCGCTAAAAACATATTCATATTTCAGTTTGAAGCTCTGAGTCGCTCCCCCTTCAGAGCGCTATCACAACACAAGCAGGGTCCTTCTAATACTTATGTTATTGCTTTGTCTGGAATTCACAGTATTTTATGTTATTAAACCTTCTTATCTTCATGGAGAACAAACCAGACCAAATTATAGGTCAGATCTGTGGAGAGGCGACCCCGCTCACAGTCAGAATGTCTGTTTTTCTAGGTGTTTTTGAGCGATAAAACCACCTGTAATTGAATAAATGTAAAGTAGAGCTGTTTAATGTCATGCTGTGGAACATTCTCTTCAGGTCAAAATAATGCTGTGTTCGTTTATCCTTCTCCCACTCGGATCTCGGATATGATGTCACGTCCACACTTCAACCGTTTTATTATGTTTTGTGTGTCTGCCTCGGAGAAAAACGTGGACTGTAACTGGAAAGCTGTTGTTGCTTTAGGATTGGCCGAGTGCCCGGTGCTCCAAAATAAGTACCGTATTGTTGAGACTATAAGCCGCACTTTTTTTCAAGGTTTGGGTGTTTCCTGCGACTTATATTCTGTGAGAGGGTGCTCTAGTCTTGTGTCAGTATCTGCTGCTCCTGTTCCTCCTGTACCACTGTCACTTCACTCTACTGCACATGTCTCCTGCAGAAAGAGCCTCTGTTCTGTCTGTATCATGTCAGTCGATCACACCATTACTTCTGTACCACTGAACAATTTAACATTTAAACAAACTTATAAAGACGACTGAGAAGACTGAACACAAATGCTCCCAAAAAGAAAATAGTATTTTGCAGATTACAAACTGCAAGTCTCTGCAGCTGAAAACAATAATCGAGCAGCAGAAAGAAAGTTTGGAGTGAGAGAGAAACTTGTGACACTGGGAGGATGCACCATGAAACTTTCCTGAAGTCACTGGATGGATGGACAAAGTCTGGACTTCAGTGACATCGAAACCATCCTGTCGGGATTCAGAAAGACCCGAATAATTCTAACTGGAACTGATGCTGAGTCTGACGACAGCGACACAGAAGAGGAAGTGACGCTCTGTTTACCTCCGGAGGTCGAGGCCAAGTTGTTCAGAAGTGACACCGAGGATGAAGAATTGAATGGATTTAGTGATTTGGAGTGAGATGGAGAGTTTGGTAAACTTGTTCTGTTCTGTTGTTTATGTTATAGTTTATCTGAAGAACTGTTCATATGTGACGTTAACAGTCTGTTGTTCTCTCTTCTATTGTTATTACTACAACTTGACTTTACACAGGAAATGCCGGTTCCTGGTCTCTGATTTTATAAAATATATTTCCCTGAAAAAGTGTGACTTACAGTGCAGTGCGATTTATATATGTTTTTTACTTTTTCATTACGCATTTTTTGACTGGTGCGACTTATACTCCGGAGCAACTTATAGTCTGAAAAATACCGTATGTGCTTCAACCACACAACCTCGAGGAAGTATTCAAGTTGTAGTATCATTCAGTATATTAGTGAAGTGAAAGCGTTGGCTGTGTGATAGTCACTCATTTTAGCACATGGGCGACACCGACATGGGTGACACCGACTACCAAACCCACAGGCAGTGATACAGACGCAGTAAAGTATTGCAGTAATACAGATGTAGTAAGGTACTGTAGTAATACTAGTGACTGAAACTGTCCTCTGAGTTCTGAGCCATCTGAGGAAAAGGGGCGTGTTGTGCATCGCTAGGCAACGTCCTCGAACCTCTGAGTCAGTTGCTGTGTTATCTGCATCTAATTATAAAGCCTTTTATTGTCTGAGAATCAGGAAGTGCAGGTTAGCTTTACAGTCACTGCAAAACTTTGGTCTCTGAAAGTTGTGGAAAACACTTATAAACTCACTGTGGTGAATAGTTAGGAAGCTCTGAATGCATAAAATGGGTGAGGGATAACTCTGAACCGCTGCAAACTGTTTCAAATGAACTCGTTTTTCGCGACAGTAAAAATCATGTACAGCCTCTTTAATTAGAAATAATGAGTACATTGCTAACAGGATGGTACGGTGGCCTTCAGGGACATTCCAAAGCGTATGGAAATGTGTTTAATTGTATTTATGAGGCAGTCTTCTCTTTATATTGGCCTCTGCACAAAGTGGAACAGCACATTTCCTTCCAGCAGCTCGGCAGTCTGATCACATAACGAGTGTAATGGCTGCAGGGGGCGGGGCTATGCAAATGAGGTGTATATATGCAAAATATTGTTTATTAGAGCTGTCAATCACACACACGAGTTAAAATGAGTCAGGAGACGGAGAGGAGGCCGGGGACGTGAGCTCTTCAAACACTCTGAAGGAATATCTTATGTTCATTACAGTGGTAAAGGTGCACTGCGGAACATTTCTAGTGCAAGGTTGTCTCCATGGAGATGCTACTGCTTTGTCTAGAATGTTCCACAGCATAGATTATGTCTGTCTATCACGAGGGAGACAAGTAGGTTACAGGAATACACCACAGTACAGTTCAGATCTGTGGAGAGGCGCTCCTTTTCACAGAAGGAATGATTGGATTTTTGAGCAATAGAAACACCCGTAATGAATAAATACTAGATGGAAATGTTTAAATTGGGCAATGAGTCACTTTTCTGGTGGAGTATCGTCAAATGCTTTGTCTGGAATGTCTCACAGTATGGCATTATTTATTATTATTATTATTCTATCTTTTTGGAGCTTGCTACTTACCTGGTTCCATTCATTCTGCTCCGGTACCTCGCTCTGTTTCTCA